GGCATTATAAAAACAAAAATATAGTCCAATTATTGTAATTACATTAGCATCACCAGTGGTTGGATTTTGGTAAGTACATGAATGAAAAAGTGTATGTGTGGACCAACTCTGAGACATGATTTGATGTGATTAAGGTGCATTTTCTTTAAAAAATTTGACATTTTTGACCTGCCTCCATCTGTCAAAATCAGAATGACATTTTTTGACATTTTCTATAGATGGCGTCTTCAACAGGTGAGATCTTTTGATTTTCGTGGGGAGTTTTGATTCAAACTTTTTTGACTGACAGAGGACATACTGGGGTATGATGCAATGATAGCAAAACATGTCCACAAATCTTAGTTTTCTCTTGAAGACAGATCGTTTGTATGGGAATACGCATGTTATAACAATTAGTTGGGTTAACCCTATTATCGCCCATTCTGGAGTACCACTTTTTTTAATTTGGTCATATTTCTCAACTATTTCCAGTTTTTATTGGGACTTTCATTAATTTCATCTCTCTCAATGCGTTTGACAAAGTTTCATGTCACTATGGTCCATGCTTTTCCATAAAAAGTGCTGAATAAGCATTTTTTCGCAAAAATTTACCCCGTGTTATTCAAATATGTGCATAAATTAGAGAAATTTATTGATTATTTTTCTAAATCACAAAAATTGATTCTAGGCAGAATGTGCTATCCAGATATAGCTCAATCAGCTCTGTAATACCTCCCCAGCTCAAACTAGACATCTCCCAACACATCCGTCATAGGCTCCAACCAGGAGTCAACTTTTTATTACTTTGGTCATATTTCTCCACTGTTTCCATGATTTTTATTGGAATTTTCACAAATTTTGCTCTAGAAGGCTAAATCATTGGCTATGACCTAACCCTAACCCCAACAATATCTCTAACCCTAACTATAGCCTAACCCTAAGCCAGAGCCTAACTCTAACCCTTAACCTGAACCCCAACACTACCCCTAACCCTAACTATAGCCTAAACCTAACCCTAAGCCAGAGCCTAACCCTAACCCCTAACCCTAACCCCAACACTATTCCTAACCCTAACTACAGCCTAACCCTAAGCCAGAGTCTAACCCCTAACCCTAACCCCTTACCCCAACATTACGCCTAACCCTAACTATAGCCTAACCCTAAGCCAGAGCCTAACCCTAACCCCTAACTCTAACCTCAACACTACCCCTAACCCTAACTATAGCCTAACCCTAAGCTAGAGCCTAAGCCTAACCCCAACACTACCCCTAACCCTAACTATAGCCTTACCCTAAGCCAGGGCCTAACCCTAGCCCCAACACTACCCTTAGCCCTAACTAAAGCCTAACCCTAAGCTCAAGCCTAACCCTAACCCCTAATCCTAACCTTGACTTAACCCTAAGTAATCAAATACAGTGTTCAGAATGATCATTTATCAATTGGGAGACCTATAATTGGAAATGTGTGTTGTTTTGGTTTTCTTTGATGAATATTCCCCAGGGTAGAACAACAACTGGAGAAAATGACCAATTTTTCTGTATCCTCCATACTAAATATTTCTCTGTAAACATTCAGAAGCAATAATAATGATTACAATTAGTTTATGTAATTGATAACACATGAATTGTTCTATCATTTGACAAAGTTTAATGTCACGATGGTCTGTACTATTTCCCAAAAGTGTCGAATAAGCATTTTTTTCGCAAAAATCTACCCCGTGTTATTAAATATGCGCATAAATAAGAGATATTAATTGCCTATTTCTTTAAATTACAAAAATTGATTCTAGACAAAATGTGCTTTCCAGATATAGCTCATTCAGCTCTGTACTACCTCGCCGTCTCAAACTAGACACCTCCCAACACATCTAGCCATAGGTTCCAATTTTAGTCAATATCCCAGGAAAACATCTAATTGCAGAAAGGGGATGGGTAACTTTAATCATTCATATATCTGGAAAAAATAGTCGAATCTGCTTGCGGTTTGTATTATTTTACTAGAAAACAACTTGGGGTTACATTTTGGAGGATATTACAATTGTAACTTAAAGGATGGGTCACTACTATCGCCCATTCTGGAGTACCACTTTTTTTTAATTTGGTCATATTTCTCAACTATTTCCAGTTTTTATTGGGACTTTCATTAATTTCATCTCTCTCAATGCGTTTGACAAAGTTTCATGTCACTATGGTCCATGCTTTTCCATAAAAAGTGCTGAATAAGCATTTTTTCGCAAAAATTTACCCCGTGTTATTCAAATATGTGCATAAATTAGAGAAATTTATTGATTATTTTTCTAAATCACAAAAATTGATTCTAGGCAGAATGTGCTATCCAGATATAGCTCAATCAGCTCTGTAATACCTCCCCAGCTCAAACTAGACATCTCCCAACACAGCTAAGAATAAGATTGCATTCGTGAATTTTCCTGTGCTTTTTTCTGCATTCCTAACTTCAAACCATTGATTTAAAGGAAATATGTCACTTTTTTCTTCCTCATTGTGCGCGTTTCAATGCTTTTGCATACTTGTAAACTCAAATATCTTTATTCCACAGTGATTGTCAAAGAACGACCTGCTTTTAATAAATACATTTCTCGTAAGTTTTATCATTATAGTTAGTAAGCCGTGTTTGATTTATTTTATATGTTTAAAAATGTGGTTCTCAAGAATACGTTATCTGGTGATTTAAAAAAAATGAATAGGCAAACGAAGTTCTAGTATCAAACGAAGAAGAATGTTGTCTCCTGTTACCTTTAATTGTCTTCACCATTTCTCAACTCAACCAATGATGCAATCATCACAGCAAAATAGGATAATCCCGGCGGTGGAACCAATGGCGTCATCATTGATTTGACTACCGTAGTGAGTGTACTATCCTTACTCGATTTGTTTATATCGTGGTATGAGGAAAGTAGTTCTATTTAAAACCTGTTTGGGGACTTCAATGGTATACTACAACACCATCTTTGGATAGAATACTCTAATTTGCAGACGTATAGTGTACAGAAACACTTGAAAACATGTGATCATAAACAGTGAACGGTAAAATATCTGGGATTATTTTTTTGCGGATTGATGTGTTTGGTAGTGGTGAATTTATCAATGTACATAAATATGATGACGTGTTGGCACTCCAACTATGAAAGAGAGCAGAACTTTTGATTTTTGTGCGATATGTTTGTTGACTTTTTTTCGACATGAAGGTGAGATGTTTTGCTGTATATCTCTGATTTTTTTTGAAAATCGATGGGCTCCGATTTGAGAAAATCTAACTTGAACTTTGTCAATTTAACATGCATCTCAATTACAACTACAGTGGCGTAGCCAGCAATATTCCAATTCGCGATAACGTTTAATTTAGTTCAGTTTAGTTACCTCCCGTTTGAAGAGCTCTCGTGTCTGTTACATCTTCGTCTACATCCGGGTTCTTTCCCATTGTATTACACAGGGTTGCTATTTTCAATGCCGCATTGCGACTCTATTAAACATTTATGTAGAGTTTCATTTGCACAAACGATATGTATGTAATTAAGATCTATAAAAATGCTTTTTGAACTAAATCCCCAAATCCGAAGATATTTGTAGTTGAAAATGCCGTCCAATTCCAGTGACGTCACTGATTTCCCAGAAATTGTTCAGACGCCATCGAAGATCGAAAAAAATATAAATAATGTTACTTTGAATCTCCGGTTAGTTTTCTGATTATTGAATAGATTGGATCATATAGTGTAACTATGCTTGAGTGCTGATGGAAGGTCAGAAGTTGAGAAACGTTCAGAGTAATCGACTCGTTCGGCGGGCCAATGAACATTTGTCCCTTCCAAAGCGATGCATCATATGAGATATTTATGTTAATTACCACCTGAACTCTTATCGCGAATAGAGTATTGGTGACCAGGTGTTCGATCTCCCCCTTCATCGGTGTACCTCACATAAAAGCATTTTTTTATTTGTCATATATGCAATTTACACCCCTACAAAAGTTTGGCAACAATTTGATTTTCCATATTGAAATAGTTTTTGATGAAACCAGAAACATTATTCAATTTATATGACCAGTTGATAAAAATAGTAAATTTACACTTCTCTCCAAAAGATTGGCAACCTCAGGCACGGGGTGGGATTGTCTAATTTTGGGAAGACCCCGTTTCATCATGACATTATGCAAAGAAAAATATCAATAATTTCGCAACTTATTTTCCAACTTAAAAGCTGCTCCATCTACAGTGAAATAAACCAACTGTCTTAATATCAATGAAAACACATTTTCTTTCAAATCTTTGTCCCTCCGTTTTGTTTTATTTCAAACAAAAAAATCTTGCTAAGTCCCCGGGGCTGATAAGTCCTCAAAACCAAATATTAGATAATAGAAACATTTTGACATGAGTTATTATTAAAAGCATTTGTATCATTTATAAACACAAGCATTTGATCGAATGGGTATTATTATCCATCATTTTTTAAGGAAAATTAATCCATTGCGAAAAAGGTCAGTTTTTTTCAGACGCACGTTTATCTCGGAGATCATTTTAAGATTAAATTGTTGCTGTTTCAGTGTGTTTAGCATTTACTCTATTTTCAAGAATATCAAACTTTAGTGGACCGTGTTAATGTCATTTTTATACACGTTTAGCAAATAAATGGATTAAGGGAGACAATTAGGTGAGTAAGTTTCTGGTACTAGATACAAGTGTAAAAGGTACATATATTATGTGCAGTGGTAAGTTCTGTCCAATAAAAAGCCAGATGCAGTCATCTTTTGCTGAAAAATGCAAAGGCACAAGGAGGAATATATCAAACAAGTCTAGATTTATTATTTCGAATGAGTATTTTATTTTCACAGTTAAAAAGAAAAGAATCCAAATCAAAATAATTTTATTTTCTATTTTATTTTGTAATAAAAGAGTTCATAATGACCTCATGAACTTACAGTTAGCTACTGAAAACTAGTATATTCAACCAACTATTTTTGAAGAGTGTAGTACTTATTTAATCATGACGCACAATAAAAGTCGTAATGGCTGCATGAATACTCTCAATTGGTACTGACGATAGAAGTGTATAACAAGTGTATGGTACAAGTATGGTTTTAATGACTTGCGCACTTACGTTTTACATCTCACGTACCTCTATGTATCTAAAATACAACGCAGTTGCATTTGATCAAAAGAGATCGTAAGAATGTAAGTATAATTACTTGACTTTTTATATTTTATGTGATAATCATCATAAAAATGATTTCACTTGCTAAATAGATGGAAATAGAAAAGTATTATTTTGTATCTCTTCAACTTTGGAAACGCTAGAGGGGGGGTTCGTCTGCCCCTCCCTGACAATTAAATCGTGGTACACATTTGGGTAAAACATAAATATGTTTTTGTATGTTACTTGCGTGTTATAAAATGGGCACATACTATTTAATCGGTTATTGTCTTTTTTAGAGGATTTGTTTAATCGTTGTTCAACTACAGGATCAATTTGTGGACGTTCTACAAAAAAACATGCAGTCAACCGTTTTATCGTTGATAATAGTAGCTGCCTTTGCTGCAAATGGTAAAACATAATTTTCACTAAACATTACGAAAAGCTTGAGTTTTATATTTTGGGATATCACCCATTAGATTCATTTATACTGTGTTTTTGCTAAGTCACGCGGCGGTGGTGCATTGCGTAATAGGGATAATCTACGATAATTGATATTTTAAAAATCTGTTGTTGTACTAGACACGTATACTGCGACTTATATGGACATGCGACTTTCATGGACATGCAATGTGTTATTTTTTGTTGACCAGATTTTAAGCAACCATTACCACAAGACACCTATTTGGAATATTGCTTATCTTTTTAAAGAATATCACTTTAATGATGGAGTTCTAGACAATTAAGAAATATTTTATTTTTTCAGCAAATATAAACTCGGATTTTTTAACCTAAAATGTATCTACTGCGTTGATATTTTTGAGCATGTTAATAAAATGTATGTGCTACCATCTCTTCAAGGCGAGATGTTTGATATGTCTTAGTCACATAATTAAGTATGTTTTACTATATGTATACGATTTGTCAAATATTTGTATCCTTCAACACACCGGCCATATTAATATACACTATTGATGCATTATTTGGTAAAAGCTATGCCAGAAGGTGCATTTTGCAGACAATGGAGATATATGATTGAGTGTAGGTATTTCTGTAGTGAATTCAAGTTGTCTAGATTAGGCTGTCCAATATTTCGTATCTTCCAAACATTAAAATATCATCTTTGGGAAAACTATTTTAGATTATTATTTTGAGAAATTAAAGTACTTAATAAAAGTATTTAGATCATCATTAATTAATTTTTGAATTACTTGAATTGTCTTTGTGAACTTTATTAAGGATGTGTTGGAGGATACAAAATGACTTTAAAATGATGTGCAATATAAACGTACAATCAAAGGTAATTTGTATTCGTATTTTTATGTTTATATTTAAAGGGCCATATGCACTTTCCATTGGGATCTCCCCGTGAGAAAAAATAATTCATCTGATTTTTCAAAATGAGTATTCTGCTTTAATTATTAGATTTATATGCACACTAGTATCATGTTGACCTATATTCAGCACTGTATTGATGTATAGGCCACTTATTGAGGTCATAATTCAATCATGAAGTGTAGAGGCATTCCAAAACCAGGAAGTATTTTTGTGCCTGTCAAAATCCATTTGCATCCTACGCATCCCTACATCTTATCCAAATATGTTACTACATAATGAAATAAAATAGTTTATTCCTTGGTTTTACAAAGTTGTATGATTTTTGATAAGTGTAAAAGTTGTTTTTGGAACATTTTTCTATAGCCATTTTGTAGGGAAAAAATGATGAAAAATGTACAATCTTTTAATATTAAGTATGACCTGAATCGATTGCAAACTTCATATTTGCATATTTGATGAGATAAACCATTAGTGTCATATTGTGAAATTATTAGGTTTGCAATCGATTCATTCAAGTAAGAAGAGCTTAGTAGCAATTGACCGAATATTTTTTTCAGATGAAACTATTTAGACGTGTTCAAAAGATTTGATTAATGACGTTGACTTGTTACTGGGACGATTTAGACGTGTAGAGATATTGAGGTTTAACGATTTGGAAGTGGAAAACGGCACAATTAACATTTTTTATTTCACAAAAATGTTCAGGATGTGGAAGAAGTTGTTGTCTGAGTAATACAATCTTAATTATAAATGATTAACAATAATTAAATATACGTTATAATATGTCAAAATTGATCTATGGAATCATTGCAGAATTTGATACTAAAATCAAAATGGTTAGAATCAGACATGCAAGGTTAAAGGGGCAACAAGGACTGTAGAAAGAAAATTCGAATTTTTTTATTCTTTCCGAGCTATCAGGTCAATATTTGGCTAAATATCTTCTTTGACATACATTTTCTTTAAGTGTATGGATAAACTCTCAAGTTCAGCATTAAGAAGTGCAAATTCAGTTTAAAGCTTCTATAAAGAGAGTCCCACTTTTAGATTTTTAAGATTTACCACGTTTCAAGAGGAATATCAGCTGGAATAATGTTCATCCAGGGGGTTTCTTTGTAGATAATGAAAATATAGGTTAGATGTAATATCCAAACTTAAATATATTTTGACACTGGTCAATGGTCGTTGAATGACCCCTCTGCACTAATTGTTGCATCTTTAATGCAAGTGAGGTTTGCCTCGTCGCTCGTCGACTTGAAAAAAACTAGTCACATTTTTCCGTTGCCCTGTCGCTCATTTAAAAAGATGACCCGTTGCTATTTCTTAATTTGCCTCGAATAAGTTTTAAAACGTTCCCATTGGCCTAATTAAAATCTCTTTCCCCTGTCATGAACGTGAATAAACTTTTTGAAAATGAGAAGAAATGTTCAGTTTGCGATGCACTAAATGCATACATATAATCAACTAATTTAAGGGATTTTTAACAATATGATTCGTTGTTATTCCCTTATTTGCCTCACACAATGCAAATATCTGCCTCAAATTATTTTTGACATTTTCCATTTGATTTTCATTCCATCAAATAGGTAAAACGCTACATATGCTGCTATCCTTGTATGAGTGACCTATGAACTGTACTGTAACATAATGTGCTGTAGCGAATTAAATTACAACATCTGATGATATTGTCAATTCATACATCTGTCTTTTAAAGTATATCAGAAATAGTAAGAATTAAAGAGAATTTGAAATTACAAAATATGTGAAAAGTGATGCATATCAAACACTCATCTACAAAATACGAATGTGATTATTTTCAGAATTATAGACAAATTATTAAGCAACTATAAACGTGTGAACTGTGAACACTATTACGATACAATTCAAAGTCGTTAATTTTATCACGTCTTAAGGCCCCCTCACATATGAACGAATCCACCAAACGCAGCCTGACGCATGTGGTAAATTAGTCATTTCTGGCGAATATTGAGCGAAAATGTTTAAAAATATGTTACATAATAGAAAACATAACGAATAGTAATGTAAGGTAACTATTTGTTGCGAATGTTTTACGAAGTGTGACGAATTACTACTTTTCTTCGCTAAGATGCGTTGCGTCTCGCAAACAACCTTTGACATCCCCTTCAGCGAGTAATAACTCATACATGCGAAATAAAGCGTAATTATGCGCATTCTTCCGAATCTGAACAAAGCCTTACGAAAAGCAGGAGGCGTCAGCGATTCCCGTCAGCGATTCCCGTCAGCGATTAACAACGCATACATGCGAACCAAAGCGCAATTGTGCGCATGCTTCCGAATCTAAACGAACCTTTGCGAAAAGTGTAAGGGTCAATTTACTTGACAACACCACACTATCATATATAAATCTGAAATTGTTAACCTATTCACACAACGTAAGTTAATGAAATATAAAAATGGCAAGACTTAAAAGAAAACCAACCGCCGTAGAACAAAACAAACCCGACAAAGAGGACACACAACCATCTTCCGTAGAGCCAAACAAAGCATTATTTGTGTCATTTCTGTATTGCTTTCACATATTTTATCATTTAAATGTCATATCTACCCATTTTCCTTCATAATTTGTGCTATATTTGAGGAACTGACTCACTTTTTAAGTAAATTTAAAAAAAGAAAGATTTCTAAATTACATTTTCGAACGATTTTGTGTCAGAGCATGCCTCCGCGGAAAATGTGATATCTCTTTATTCTTAGTTATTGATGCAATGCAAGCATACCTATCTTTCTTCCATTGAACACTCTATCTACACATAAAAGAATGTCATTCTGAAATAAGTGGGTGGCATTTTTGGTGTCACCCTGTATTTAATATGGCTCTTCTGACATTTCTAACATAGTCTACCTTAATTAAGAGGTCGTTGTCAACACAGATTTGAAATTCATACAGTGATCATCCATTGGGAATGTTATTAACACGTACAATTGGTTACCATGCCAAGCAATTATTGTAATTACTTCAGTTTGAATGAAATATCCCTATGTTTTATGGTTTTGGGTCGTAATATTTGATATTAGAATGGAAGGGGAGGGGTGTTTGACACTGTTTCTTTTGACGCTTGAATTTCATTTGGGATAGTTGGGGTTTGTTTTTAATGACAATATTCGCTTAAAGATTTTGTTTCTCTTGTGTTTTCTGATCATGTTTGGTATTTTCCCTTTGATATTATATCAATACATTTCTTATTATTAGACTCGTAAAACAAAAATACTTTTAAACTAGTTTTTACAATTTATGTCAGGCAAATTACACTTAATTTCAAGTTGACACAGTGCTTTAGATTATTTCTCAAAGTCCAACCTTTAATTTGGCACGATCCTGTCTTGCCATGGTACACTTCCTGCTGGAGAGTTGACCCAGTGCTTCAGAGTATTTCTCACAATCTTCCCCTTTTTGTTTGCTGTGTTGTGGCCTCTGATATTGGCAGCCCTGACATCTTCCAAGTTGCGATCTCTCCTCCATTCCCCAGGAACCATGTCGCCTCTTCTGTCCTCTTGGTCAATCAGTGCATTTTGCATTGTAGGGTACCTCATTCTCATCAAGTTGTGGAGAATGCAGCATGTCTTGACTATCAGCCTCGCTGTGGATGGCTTATGGTTCATCGTTGAGAGGAGTACCTGAAATGTTATTATGCGTTAAATTGAATTAATTTGAAAATACGGATTAATAGTTAAACTGTTATAGGTCGAATGTGGAACTCAGTTGGTTCCAATTTATGCGCATCTTTCAAATTATTTATCAAACAAAACATACTATTTACATGTCTCAATTAGCGGAAGTTCGAATGAAGTCTCATTTACTCGAAGTCGAATAAACGTATCTAGATAGTCCCAGGAACTTGGAGTTAACTGTTTGTTTCGCCGACAAATATTATAAATTACAATGTACCTGGAATCGGTTGGCCAAAAAGGCGTTTTCTGAAACCCTCCTAGCCCTCGATAACCGGTAGTTTAGAATTCTTTCCTCTAGTGAGGGTTCTATGTCCATAGGGCTTCTGCATGTGATCACTGAGGCTGAATGCGTCATCCCCTAC